GGGTCTCGACAAGCAACTCCCATCTACTCTACAGAAACTATATCCGGCCACGGGAAAATCCGGATCATAGTTTATTTGTTAAACATTCTGGTCTTTACAAGTCATGGGCCCAACTCTTATGATTAGCAATGGAACCCTATTTCTGATGCTGGCCAAAGAAAATATGACCTACTTACCTTCAAGGTTTTGGAATGTCGAGGGGCAGTCACAGATTTGAGGGGGAATTGCAGTCAGTGGAGAGTCAGGTTGATCAAGAGTTGAACATAATTTTAACCTATTCAGCATTTCCTGGATAACTGGGAAAGTCAGTCAGATCACTCCCAATCTTCAAGTCTACCTCAGAGTCAGAGACATTCAGGCAGATTCTCAGAGTGCTGGGGAATTGCCCATCAGAAGTCTAAACTTCCTGCAAACTTACCATGGAGTCAGTACATCAGCATTTACAAGTGGCAATGTGTACCTTTGGCAATGTGTCCACTCACTGATGTTCTGCAGTTTGGAATATCTGGGTCAGAACATTGTACAGATGCAAGCGAGCTTTGTTGGGACTTTGGGATTTGCAGGGTCAATAATATTATGTGAAAATATATGAAATAGGAGCAGGAACAGACTATACCATTGAGCCTGTTTCACCATTTTAATATGATGATTGACCTTGGCTTCAACTTTCCTGGTGCTCTCCATATAAAGAGACCAAAAATCTACCTATCCCAGCCTTAAATGCATTCAATGATGGAGCCTCTACAACCCTCTAGCCTAAAGAATTACGAAGATTCACAATATTTTGAGTGAGGAAATTGCTCCTCAGCTAAACGATTGGCCCCCTTATCATGGAACTGTGACCGCTTTGTTCTAGATTCCCCAACCAGTGGGAACAACCTCTCAGTACAGCCCTGGCACATTCCTTCATTATCTTCAAGATTTCAATGAGATTGCCTTTCATTTTTCTAAACACCGCAGAATGTAGGCCCAACTAACTCAGTCTCACATCACAGGACAGGGCGCAATCCAGTGAATCTTTGTTGTACTGCCTCAATGCAAGTATGGTGTGGTGTGCTCACTCGGGGAGTCCAAGTTATTATTGCAACATGGACCCATATGTGCATGTTGTAGTCAGGAACTATTATAGACGCTCCAACATTCCTTCCATAACTTACAGCTGACCGGGAATCTTTGTTGCTTTTACTGCTTGCCATTGGAATTGGATGGAGGATTTGCAGGTTGATATATTCAACCTGTTTGGTCATGTTATGAATGCACTTTCCTCGATGGTCAAATCTTGGGGTGGGTTCAGAGGCAGGAATGCTACTCGCTGCACCACAAGATCTCTCTGTTTAATGCAAGTATGAAGGCCAGAATTGTAAATAGGATTCAAGGTGCGGCCTCACCAAAGCCCTGTACAATTGTAGCAAGGCTTATCTGTTCCTGTAGTCTAATCCCCTTATCATAAAGGCCAACATACCATTTACTTAATTACTTACTGTACCTGCATGCCAAACAAGTACACTTGAGTTTCTCTGAATATCGATGTTTATAAATTTCATGCCTCCAAAAAATGTTGCTTTACTATTCTTACATGAGAGCCAGGAGGGACTGGATTATTGCCAAATGTTGTATAGCGTAACTTGTCATCAGTAGAAAGTGCAATTAGCAAAAGAATAAATCAATGCATGCTGATGTCGTGCATGGTTGAAGTTTTAAGCAGAAGGCATCTTACATTGTGTCTCCATTCAATAAATTAATATTGCAGTTGGGCAAAAGACAAAACTAGAGAGTGCGCGATTTCAGAGTTCAGGGAAGGCCACAAGACCAGATGGGAGAAGCCCCACAGCAACCTAAGCCAGTGATTCCATGTAATGTACAATGCTGTGCATAGGCTGCAGTTATTTTCTCAGTTTATTACTCAATGTTTCCTTTCTATTGAGCTCCCACTTTAATCATCTGTTATTATCACAGACAGCAGAGAAAAACTTATCTTAGATTGCAGACACGACAGTTGTGTTCGAGCTATGAAGTGAGTCCATCCTTGTTTCCAGCTTCATGCTGGTGTTGGAGTGGGGGACTGATTTGATGCAATACTTCAGGACTGTTGCTATCAAAGGAGGAAAGAGATGGCAGTTTGAATGCTAGCAATGCCTTAATCCTTCAGCTCTGAATGTAATTTCTGATTGTACTTTTTTTGGTTTAGTGGTGTACTGGAACTGCTGGTTCCTGACCTGCAAGAGCTGCTGGAGAGATTTGAAGCCTCCCCAGAATAATTCACTCACACAGTTAAAACCGGGCCTATTCTGGATATCACCAGTAGTTGGCCTCAAGCAAAGTCAAATGGCTGTGTAAGATAGACGTTGTGGCACAGAAGTTAGTATTAAGAGTAAATTCTGTAACAATGTTAAAATCGTGCAATAATTAGCTGTTGGAAGACACAAAATGTTTGACGTTATTGTGCTTATGATATTTAAATAAGTGTTTTGAGAAAATGATGTTGAGGGTCCTATTTATACACTGTAGTTTCTTAAGAGAATGAATTACAGCATTAAGAGCCAGTCACGTTTACCTAACTCAATTAGCCACAATGCTGTGTGGCCAATACTCACAAAACAAGGCTACATTGTTGCCGCCTCGGTATAAATAAACAGTTCCTTTCAAAATGCATGACCATACCTAAAAAATAAAAATATCTTAAGTTAACAGTCTCAAAATCACTAACCTATTCTCTCAGTTCTCATACTATATTGCTGGAAATGTCTGAGAAGTACTTTAGAACACCAACATTTCAAGCATATCTCACAAAAGCTAACAAAATCCTTGTGTGTGCAAGAGATCACAGTGAAACTGCAGAAACAAAATAGTTTAAAGACTCAATGAAATCATTGTATTAAAATAAAGCATACCCAACAATCTATGTCAATGACTTGGATGAAGGGACCTGCTGGTTACCCTTCCTGATAGCACAAAGATAGGCACGGAAGTAAGAGGGAGATAGATGAGTAAATAGCAGGCAGAAATTTGACAAATATGGGAAAATGTGAACTTGTCCAGTTCAGCTGAAAGAGAATAGAGAATCACTATGGTGTTTAAATGGACAGAGAATGCAGAATTCATGATACAGAGGGATCTTGGTGTTCTGGTGCATGGACTGCAAAAGTTAATATGCAGGTACAAGTGCAAGTTTAATATGCAGGAAGGAAAATTAATCATGAACATATATTACAAAGAGAATGTAATATAAAAGTAGGAAAGTTTTGCAACAGCTATACAATTTAATATTGAGACCAAATCTGAATTATGCATGGTTTTGGTCTCCTCATTTGAAAACCACGTGCGATTGTGTTAGAAATAGTGCAGAGAAGATTCACTCCACATTCTTGTGAGAAGGGCTTATTTTATGAAGAAGAATTGAACTGTTTGGGCCTGTACCCATTGGAACTTAGAATGAGATGTGATCTTGATTTTTTTTTTAAATCATTCATGGGATGTGGGTGTTGCCGGCCAAGCTGTCGTTCATCATTGTCAATGCTTATTGCCTTTTGAAGGTTTGGTGAGATGCCTTCTTGAACTGCTGCAGTCCATGTGCTGTAGGTAGACCATTCAGGAACGGGATTCCAGGATTTTGACCCATCAACAGTGAAGGAACGGTGATCTATTTCCAAGTCAGGTTAGGGGTGAGTGGCTAGGTGGGAAACTTGTAGTTGGTGGTGTTCCATGTATCTGCTGCCCTTGTCCTTCTAGATGGAAGCAGTTCTGGGTTTTGAAGGTGCTCTCTCAAGAGACTTGGAGAATTTCTGCAGTGCAACATGTAGATGGTATACATTGCTGCTACTTAGCGTTGTGTGGGGTGAGTGACTGTTTGTGGGTATGATGCCAATCAAACAGGCTGCCTGTCCAGGACAAGCTTCTTAAGTGTTCTTGGAGCTGCATCCATCCAGGCAAGTGGGGAGTATTCCATCCCACTCCTGATTTTTGCCTTGTAGATGGTGGACAGGCCTTGGGGAGTCAGGAGGTGAGTTACTACAGGATTCCTAGCCTCTGGCCTGTTCTTGTAGCCACTGTATTCACATGGTGAGTCCAGTTGAGTTTCTGGTCAATGACAAACGCAAGATGCTGATAGTGGGGGAATTCAGTGATGGTAATGCCATTGAGCATCAAGGAACAATGTCTAGATTATCTCATTGGAGAGAATTGCCACTGCTTGGCACTTGTGTGGCATGAATGTTCCTTGCACCTTGTCAGCCCAAACTGAAACATAAGATCCTGAAGGGACTTGATACGTGGGATACTGGGAGCATATCCTCACTTGTTGGGGACACTAAAACCAAGGGATACAGTTTAAGAATAAGAGGCCTCGCTTTTAAGATGGAGATTAAGAGAATCTTTCCTCTGAGGCCATTAGTATTCACTTCCCCGGATAGCAGTGGAAGCTCGGTCTTTTGAATGTATTCAAGGCTGAGTTAGATATCTTTTTCATAGATAAAGGAATCGTGAGTCTGGGGAATAGACTGGAAAATGGTGTTGAGACCACAAGATTAGCCACGATCTTAATGAATGTCAGAGCTGTTTTGAAGGGCTTGAATGGATTACTCCTGCTCCTACATACCTGAAACACAATTCCTTACCTTAATAGGAAAAGCCTAATTGATCAGTGATAAGTTTAAATTGAGTACATCTTCGCTAGAAATGTAATGCCTGTCACTCCCCTCAGTTTATAATCCCTTGAAGGATCTTATCCTTTGAAAGGTACCAGAGTACAAAGTTGATAGAATAGTTTTCAATGCAAACTGGTTCCCTCTACAGGTCAAATCAATGAAACGTAGAAGTAGTCAGCAACAAACTCAGGAATTATTTCTTGATTCAGGTCAATCCAAAACAAACTCAGAGTAGTCATTTTAGGAATATGTATTATATTTTATATAAGATTGAACAGATTAATATTCAAAATGACCTGTCACTTTAAAGAGAGAAACACCAAGCTCATACAGGTTCCATGTGTTTTGTGTTTGCAGAATACTTGTGCCAAATATTTTACTTACTGGTGTTAACAGCCGTAAGGGCGTGACCAGGCTGCCTGGCAGCAGGCTGAGGGAAGCGGCTAGACGCTCATATATACTGTAGTTGTTTCTGGTGGGGGAAGTGCCTATAATTCCCTGGCAGTCTAGGTAAGGTCTTTGTTCTGTTTATGCTACTGGCTTGTTAAGGGGTAATGTTAGATTCAGGTTGTCCAAATTCATATATTAACCCTAAAATTATGCAAAACCATCTGGAATTTTCACAGCTCAACTCAATAATTTGACAAGAAAGGTTACTTTGGACCTGATGTGGGTTTCCTTAGTTAAATCTGCAATAGACAAGGAAATCAATCCACCATAATAATTGTTAATCTGTCCTAACAAAGAACCTAATGTGAGGGATCCATGTAAAAGTTCAAGTTAATAATAATAACATAATTGTCTTTGTGCTTTGCTTTAAGAATTTGATTTGCTTGTCAGCAACAGGGAAGGAGTAATGTTATAAAACTTTGCAAACACTAGGAAATGTTTTAAATTTTATGTAAGTATAACCTTAGTGCAATATTTAAGATTTTTGGAGAAATGAGGAACTGAATACGAAGAACCTCCTAGGCATTGTAAATAATGTTACTAAACACAAAGTTTGTTTTCTACATTCCCAAATTTACATCAGCACTCTGTACACACACCAGAGGCAATATTGAACCTTTTGGAAAAAAAAGGTTTCATTCAATTCCCGTGAATAATAGACAGGGTTTAACTGAACTGTAACAAGGAAAGCAGGATTTGCTTTCGTAATAAGATCTGCATTCCCATAAGGTGTCACTTGTTCATTAGGGCAAACAGTAGCAAACTCAAAAAAAAAGTTAAATCTGGATTGGGCATTTAAAAGGATTGTTCTAACTAAAGAACACACACTCATCGATGTCAGTCAGCATACAAATGGCAAACAGCCAATGATCATTTCCTCAAATCCCCCCCCCCCCCGACCCAAGTTGGCCCAGCTGCCCATGTAAATAAGGCTGTTTAAAATGTGTAAATGCCTCTCCCTGGTTTCACTCCACCTCAGCCAGCCAGAGCGGTTTCCTGCTCTTTGTTTCAAGGCTGAGGTTTGCGTCATGCATTCCAAGTGCCATTTCAATGTTCTTTCCTGTTTAGGTTGTTTTCTACTAGAGGAGCTGCAGCCCTGTCCCCCCCCCCCCCCCCCACCCCCAGTCCTTCCTTCCCTTGGAATCGTTATCTCTTGACGCGTTCTGTACTGATGGTCAATTCTGCCCGCTGTTACTTCCAGTCAGGAAAGATGAAGCTTCTTAGCAGATAACAATCTGATTTAAACTGGACGAAGTATTGCTGCGCAGTTACTTTCTTTTTGACAGGAAAGTTAAATTACCTGATATTCTGGGAGCTGAGACAAATTAAGGAAGTGTCCACTTGCAAGTTAGTTTGTCATGTATGAAGTATTTGGGAAGTGACATTCATAACTTTATTTCTAAAAAAAATTTCTGCAATATTATAATTGAAATTATAAAATGTCCCTTTTTTCCCCCAGGAAGGAACCGTTGCCTGTGAAAGGGACAATATTATTTAAGAGACGAGGTAAGTGCTTTGATTTAATTACCTTGATCCTCCCAGGATATACTGCATTTTATTATGCGGGAGCAGTTGTATTACATCTACTGTAAACACGCAACAAAGTTACCTTTCATGAGGACTGTTTAATTTAGCTTTATCACCGCTTATACATTTGTTTTTTTGGGTAGCTTTGCAACCAGTTCTCAAAGTGCACATCCTGTGTAGCCTGAAGCAGAGTGAAGGCACTGGTTTTATTTGAGCAAAACAGTATTTTAGAAAAAGTGTCTTATCACTGGCTGGGCTTAATGAATCTGCCACGTTCACCTGAGGTTTACCTCTGGGTCTATGAGACCACACCACTGGAGTTCATGGCACCAACACCACTCTAATCTAGGTGGAGCTTTAGTTTATGTATGGTCTGCGGAGTGCCTTCAGGAGACAAGAGATCACAGAGTATGTAGGGAAGCTTTGATCAGTGTTAAAAAATTAACTGACTGAAATGTTTAACTGATTGAATACTAATTCCATTTAATTGCCATTTGCCACTTATAAGTACACAAGCTCCATCCTAAATTTATACCTATCCATCCGTTCAACTTGGGCAGCTCAGAACAGTAAAGAAAATAGAAAGCAAACAAGAATCCATATATTTCCATTCCCACCAGAGACACGTGACAGGACAGATGGTGTGTCCATACTGTCAACCAAAAGAGAGAACTCTGTTTAAACTTCTTTAGTACTGATATCAACTGTGTACAATTTTGGCCTCTACAAGAAAAGATATACCTGCATATGGGCAAAGTTTAGTGAATATTTAGTGAAAACAGAAGTTACCACTTGAACACACCACCCTGTTCCCTGTCCAACATCTGTCTCTGGCTTGCTGTAGTGTTCCAGTGAAGCTCAACGCAAGCTGGATAAACAACACCTCATTTTCCACTTGGAACTCTGCAGCCCTCCGGATTCAATATCGAGTTCAATAATTTTAGGGCCTAAACTCTCCCATGTCCTAGCTCCCTACCCCACATAACCTGCCATTACACACTACCTATTGTTAGTCACTAACAGTCCCCATGAACAACTATTCACCTTTAAGCCAGAATTATCAACTCCTTTGTCTATCCAACCGCTCTTCTCTTTCTTCGGTCTGTATCCTTTATCCTATCATTTACTCCCAACCCATCCCCCTCCCTTTTTTTTTGCATATAAACTGATGTTTTCCCAGTTACCATCAGTTCTGAGGGAGGGTCACTGGACCCAAAATGTTAACTCTGATTTTTTTCTTCATGGATGCTGCCAGACCTGCTGAGCTTTTCCAGCAACTTCTGTTTTAGTTCCTGATTTACAGCATCCGCAGTACTTTCGGTTTTTATTCTCTCTAACTTAGTTCCTGGGATGAGGGAGTTGTCCTTTGTTGAGAAGCTGAGCCTATATGCCCTGGAGTTTAAAAGAATGAGAGGTGATTTCATTAAAACATTCAAGTTCATGAATTAGCTCGTTAAAGATTGTAAATATTTAGAATTTGCCCCCAGAGATTCATGGGTCCTTCTTTGGTGAACACAATGAAAATTGGGAGTGACAGATTTTTGGTGTCTCAGGGAATCAATGGAAATGGGGGCAGGCTGGAAAGTAAACGTGAAGCCCAAGATTAACCATAATCATTTTGATTGGCAGATGTAGGTTCAGCAGGCCTCCCAGTCTGCTGCTGCTTTTATTTCTTATGATGCAGTGATATTCAGATAGACTCCTTTGTGAACTCGACACCTTACTCCAAATATATTCCAAAGACTGTTAAGTCCAACTGATTGAGTTGAAGAACCAGATCAGGAACTGACACTTGAATTATTCTGTCATAGTTGCTTACCTGAAACTAGAAGTTATTTCCTAACAATACGAAAGTAAACAAGTAATCGTTTGATATTACAAGACTTTAAAGTTGGTGGGGGAGAAAAAGGACACATTTTGTCAATCATTTTTGTCCTGCACTCATCAGGACAATTCACAAGAATACTAAATTCAAGGGGACAACCGACATTTAAACTGCATGAGGAGAATGCTCATGAGATGACAAATGGATTCTGAATTGTAGAGGCATTGCCATGGGGAATGATGATTGGCAGTTAACTGCCAGAGTTTATTCAAATTTTAAGGTAAAATTGACCCTGACTGGTCAGGGATTGCCCTGAGAAATGAACTAGCAAATAACTGTCATCTATTTTGTTTAGTTGAAATAGGTGAAGTGCGTGTACGTGTTCTTTCTGTCTGCAAATAATATATTAATATATATTAATATATATAGCTTCCAGTACATGTAAATGCCATACTGTAAGTGTATCAGTCTCTGTCAGGATTACAGTGTGGTGCACTTTCATGTACTGGAAGCTACATATATTAATAATTTACAAAATACACAGAATACCTCTTATCATCCAGAGTCCACTTTCCAATCCATCCGTATACTCTTCTCATACAATATTAATGTCTTGAATTGGTAATTTTTGTGAATAATGCTGATGAGTGCAGGACCAAAAGCTCCAACCCGATGTTTCTGTTTTCAGCAATAGAAAAATTGTAGCATAAAAGGCCCCTCAATTCAACATAGCATTCTGCTTGCCTTGTTTTCTGATCTACACGGCTGTACTTAATTCAAGTCATGGCAGTTATATGCCTTCAGTCTCGCAAATAAGCTGACCAGGAGTGGCCCAATGGCCTCCTCTTTCTCATAATTCTTATGATATGACAATGAAATGATGATGTCACCTTGAAATCTAGGCTGTTTGATTTTTCTGATCCAGTTGGAAATGTCAGTGCATTGGAAATAAATGCGATTGCTGCTTTAAGGCACGTGTTTCTGGCATTAAAGGAATAAAATGCTGAACATATGGAATGTGCAACCAGGACAGTATTTGCATCTAAAAACTGGGAAAAGAGATTTCAAGTTCAAAATCTTTGCCAGAATCTAACCCTGGATCATGGTGCATCAGTTGATGGTGCCAAAACCATGATTACACTGTATTCAGTTGACTGCTCTTTTCTGCTGAGACACACTAAACCTGCATTGCGAGTCATTTCAATTTTTCACCCCAGAACTGCACATTTTATTCATCTTATAAGTCAATGCATGGGATCAAGCAGATGATATGAGTCATGTTACCAAGAAAGTGCACAAGAACCTAAGAATGATCCAGATGGAGCAAACTGTACATGCCAAATGATGCATGGAAATGGGTCCTCTGGTAAAAAGAATGAAGTACGAAGCTGGTTTCAAACTGAAAGTTGTAACACTCGATAGCTTATCCAAGTAACTGTGTGGCAATGAGGGAATTCAGTGTTGGTGAAAAACTGCTGCGAGAAAGAAAAATGATGCAATTCTCCCTGATGACACTGCCCAAAATCAAATGTTACCACGAGACAGAGATGAGCCACTGGCTTGATGTCGAGAAGCATGTATCAGACTGGGTCCTTGAACCGTCATAAATGAGCTAAATCAAACAGAATCCTGCAAAGGTTTCAGAGCAGCAATTACTTTGTGCAAGACAACAAGGTGCAGGGCTGGATGAACACAGCAGGCCAAGCAGCAT